ACATCACAGCTCTTTGTCAACTGCTCTGTATTCCCGTTGCAATGATTTTACTCAAGGGCAAGACCTTAAAATTTTCCTTTATATTGTGGTCCTCAGAAGGCATTCAGCAAAGTTTTTCCTTCAATCAAACTTCCCCTGCAAACTCAAACAGATTCTGACTCCATCTTCAAAGGCATCTTTAAAAAAAACAACAACAACAACAACAAAAAAAAAAAACCCACACAGTGGCCAATATCCCACTGCTCTTAAAAATGGGAAAACTGAAATGGTAAAGATCAGTTATAATACTGGTCCAGGGCCAGTGAGAGGGCTCAGCAGCTAAGAGTACTTGCTGCCAAGCCTGATGACCTGAGTTCGATTCCCGAGACCTACATGCCGGAAGGAGAGAACAACCTCTCACAAGTTGCCCTCCAACGTCCACACACATGTACACCATGGTCCCCAAAACCCCCACACATACATCAAACAAATGCTAACAAACACTGGTCTACCCCTAAATCTCCTATCGCTATCTTTAGAGTACACTACTTTGGAATTTATATGCAAACATATGTACACACGACTTTTTCTAATAAAAGACTGAATTGATACTTAAATTTCAGTTTTCCAATAGAAGCCAATAAATGGTAAAGTCATGACTCAGAAAAGTACTGAGTGATAATCTGCTGTGGAAATTCATCCATCAACAATAAAGAATATAAGATGGGGCTGGCAAGATAGCTTAGTCAGTGAAGTGCTTGCTGCACAGCACGGGGACCTGCGCTTGACTTCTGGGACCCACAAAAAGAAATCTGGGCATGGTGGCACCTGCTTGTAATCTCAGAGCTGCGGAGGCAGTGACAAGTGGATCCCTGGGGCTTCCTGGCCAGCCAGCCTAGCTTACTTGGTGAAGGTCTAAGCCAATGAGAAACCCTGTCTCAAATAAAGAGTGGAAGGCCTCTGAGGTTGTCCTCTGACCTCTATATACATACGTGCACACATGTGCACATGCACATAATACACACACACACACACACAGATTAAAAACAAAACTAGGGCCTTTATGGAAAAAGTCAGTATACTCTCTTAAGTTTGAAAGAGAGCACTGAGGTCATAGGACATGTCTGAATCTAGACTCTGTCACCATAGGACCTTGGGAAACTCATTCCACCTCAAGCCCCTGTTTGCTCTGTGTGAAATAGGGCTAACACAGGTCTGTCTGGACCATGTCACCAGGGAGATAAGAGGACACAGACATCTCATAGGAGCTTCTAAAGAAACACTGCCTTTAAGCACCTGCCTCCCCTGAAGAACCTACATCCTGCCACAGAGCAGACTCCAAGAAGCAGAAGGAGGTCCTACCCAGAGGAACCTATGTACTGTCTCTTCTAATTGGCAGGGTTCCTGGCCTGGCAACAAAGACAGCTAGACTTGATAGAGACACACGGGAGGAAGCACCTTGCCTCCTATCGGTTTTCTTTCCTCTATGCGTGCCAAGTTTTACCAGAACAAATCAACTGTGGCAAAACGAAGTCTCCCTTCATTTGGCTATCCCTGAAAGATTTCATTTAATTCTGGGTTGGGGCCCCATGGAGGAAAGATGGCTGCCTGTATTTACTGATGTGGACTGGAAAAAGCTCACCCAGTCAGGCACAAAAAGTGCTTTCCCAGAGAAAATGGTGTCCTCCATTTACCACCTCCGGAACTAAAGCTGCTTTTACTCATTCTATGTTGTATAAAAGGCTTTTATTAAATGCTTCTCTCCTTTGTAATACCCCCCCTTTGAGGGGAAAACCTGCAGGAATAAGCAAGCTAGTCTTTTAACAGAAGGTAAACGGAGTGGGGTAGACTTAAAACCACTCTACTTTGTTCTACCCAACCACAACGCATTCCATATTGCTTTCATTTCTTTCTTCTCATTTCTGTTAATAGTTATTTTTAAAGAATTAGAACAGAAGCGGGTCAATAATGCCTACAGATGTTACAAATGTGTCAGGCCACACTCTACACAGAGAGGTTTGTAAACAGTTGCCAGGCTGAGGTCATTTCAAACCCTTCTCTTACTAAATGCATTTTACCTATAATTCCATGTGCATAACTGACGGTTCACTTAAAACCTCACTGCAGAAAGTGGCTCTGGGTTAAACAGCTATCGTCCCCACCAAAAGGAAGAACACCAGTGGATGTTTATAGAACACCTATTTTTAGGGCATTTTGAAGTCTATGGTAATCTTGGACTAAGAAGGAGAGAAAATAAAACACACAATCTCTTCCCTCCCCTGCTATGAAATTTTCTCTGTCTTCTCTTACTATACTACCTGAAGACATACCAGTTTGCTTCCCCTCCTATCTTTTTTAATATGCTTAGGTCATTTCAAACCCTTCTCTTACTAAATGCATTTTACCTATAATTCCATGTGCATAACTGACGGTTCACTTAAAACCTCACTGCAGAAAGTGGCTCTGGGTTAAACAGCTATCGTCCCCACCAAAAGGAAGAACACCAGTGGATGTTTATAGAACACCTATTTTTAGGGCATTTTGAAGTCTATGGTAATCTTGGACTAAGAAGGAGAGAAAATAAAACACACAATCTCTTCCCTCCCCTGCTATGAAATTTTCTCTGTCTTCTCTTACTATACTACCTGAAGACATACCAGTTTGCTTCCCCTCCTATCTTTTTTTAATATGCTTTCAATTTATTATTATTTGTATCATATAGTGTGTATGACTCATGTATGCACGCATGTGTTCAGAAGACAACTTTTGGGAGTGAGTTCTCTCCTTTAATTGAGGGCCCCAGGGATCAAACTCATGTTGGCAGGACTGCGCAGCAAGAGTGTTTACCCGATGAGCCATCTCTCCTGTTGTTAGATTTTTAGATTCTCCTGCATGAACCCCTCCAGCCTGCTTTGCTCTTCACCCTCTTGATCCAAAAACAGCTGTGACACAAACTCTATCAGCCTCCTCCCAAAGCTGAAGAATGGTTGGGTGTCTTAGCAAAGGGCATCAACTTACCTAACCTGAGCATCACACAGTAAATTTACATTAAAAGTCTGAGGTGCTGGAGACAGGATCTAAGCACAACCTTTCTACTAGTCTATACCCCCAGGACATGTGTGATTTGGGGGGTTATGGTGATAACTTCTTGTCGAACTATTTCCTGTGGCCTTATCTTATTATAGCTGCATGTATTAGATCCTTTTGAGCAAGTATTTTTTTAATACCCCATCTACATTCCCTGAGTTGTCTGAGGGAAAACAGGAAACAAGATTTTAGAAGCCACCAAAGAATAATTTACAAAAGAACAAAGGGGCTGGTGAGATAGCTCAGCAGTTAAGAGTACTTGCTCTTGCAGAAGACCCAAGTTCAGTTCCCAGAACCAACACTGGGCAGTTCACAACCACCTGCAACTCCAACTACAGAGAATCCAATGCCCTCTTCTGGCCTCCTCAGGTACTGCATGCATGTGCACATACCCACATACATATATACATAATTAAAAATAACAAAAAAAAGAGCAAAGGAGCCTTAAAAATAGATTAAAAATAATGCTCTCAAACTCAAATATCGTGGGACTGGAGAGATGGCTCAGTGGTTAAGAACACTGCTCTTACAGAGGACCTGGGTTCAATTTCCAGCACCCCCATGTTGGCTAACAATCATCCATAACTCTAGTTCCCAGGGATTCAACACCTTTCTCTGGCTTCCACAGGCATTACATGACACGGGTATACTTACACGCATGCAGGCAATACACTCAAACACATAAAATAAAAATAATTAATAAAAATTTTTAAAAAGCTCTAATATCTTCTTTGAGCTAAAGCACTTAGGTTTACTACCACCAGTCACACTCCAAAAAGGCAACTGGCAAATTAATGACTGAAAAAGTAAAATATAATCCTTAAGAGTCCAATAAGTAATCCCAAATGTGCTATGGATTTTATAACTGCTTAGCTCGCTGTGAATCGTTGTTACAGCTCTTACTCTGAAAGCTGAAACATGAAGCTTCACAATTATAACAGCCACATTCTTATTTAATAACCACTACAGGGTGTTTTATTTGCTTTGTGCCAGGGACACATTTTAAAAATATTTTGCCTATCAAATAAGTAATTTTTAAAATAAATTTCATTTATATTGAAAAATAAGCTGGCACTCCTGTTTCTTCTCTAATATTTTTCATATTTAGTCCCTCTGCTTTTCTCTTTCCTCCCTAAATCACACACACACACACACGCACGCACGCACGCACGCACGCACGAACATTCACAAATCTTCATTTGCTTTTTGATACAGGGTTTCATTTTGTAACCCAGGCTAGCTTCAAACTCACAGCAGTCCTCCTGTCTTAGCCTCCCAGGTGCTGAGATTATAGGCATGCAGCTCCCAAGCTCAGCAAACACAAATCTTAAAAAAAAAACAAAACCTTTTTAAAGACAAAAAGGACAGAGTTTATAAAGGTAAACAGAATTCATTTATTTGACAGTTCAAAATAAAACTTCCAGAGCCCTTGAAAATATCCACCAGACTTCCCCCATATTCACACCGGGTATGTTTCCACTTCCAGTATATTACCCACATGAACAGAGGAAGCAAATGTCCAAAGGATTTCTGAAGATATCTAGGTATCCCCCAACACCTAGTTCTCTCTGGGACACAACAAATCTAAGTCCCAAAAGCAAATGTCTTTGGCCTACGATTCCATCCCCAGCATCCTAAATCTGTTAGGAGAAAAGTCCAATTCTTAAGGACTTGCATGGCTTGGCTTGATGCTGTGCTGCACATTTAGCTGTGTACTTAATCTCCCAGAGCTGTGCCTACTGTGGCATGCTTGCTGTTCTTTACCATCTGGAGCCTGGAGTTGATATTAGCTTGAACCACACATGCGAGAGAAAAGAAAAGGAAAAAAAAAAATCCCTCTCATTCAAATTTAACTGAAATTGGGAGCTGAACAGTGTATTATGCTGCCCGGCTTTCACACATGTAAGAAAAGGGAAAGGGGTGTAGGTACAAACCTTCTCCTTTGTTTTCTGGTTCTCTGCCCGAAGGTCTTCATATTCACCTATTGCTAAAAGAAAAACAGAAAGAGACATTACAACTCTATCAAAAGTTCACTGTGGGAAAACCTAGAAACACAGCCATCCCCCATGGTTCCCGAGGACGGAGAAGCCATAGAAGGGCTTCTGTTTTTAAGTCTCGGCAGATGTGAAACCCCCACACTGAATTCCAGTTCTCCTTGAGTCATCAGGGAGACCCAAGGGCCAGGAGAAGTGACTTCTAAAAGCCCTCCCCTTTGAGGCTCAGCACTTGGCCTTGTGAAAGCACTCAGGCTCACTAAAGGTCTTCCCAACATTCTCCATCTGTGTTGTTAAAATCAAGAGTTTTAGTTAAAAAACTGCCATCTAGAAAATAAGCTAGGCTTGTACATTCAGCTCAGTGCCATACATTGACTTTATCCAGAGCTAAAAGTTGGTGCTATGGGCATCTCACAGAGACCACATCATGCCCAGACACCTGCAATATTCAATTTTCTAGGGTGGGGATATTCAAATATTCAATTTCCCAGCTATATGGGAAAGAGCTATTTATTACTTAAAATCCTCTATTGCTAGAAAAAAATGAAGTAACTTGAACCTCTAAGTTCTTATTTTTCGTGAAAGTGGCATTTTTAGGCCTCCTCAGAGTGGAGATTATAAAATTTGAAGCAATGACCCAATAACAGGGCAGAGTCTCTGAGGCAGCCTAGAACTGGTACTCACCCACCCCTGAGCCAGAGAGCGAGAGGATCCTTAGCCTGCAGGGTCATCTTTCAAAACCTTTTTAAGTGGGATTTATCTATAACAAAGACAGAGCTTCCTATTTCTATTAATGATCTGAAGACAGGAATCAAAAATCTGAAGCCAGTAACATGAATGACATCCCAGATGGGATCAAGACATGGTGGCACATGCCTGTGGTTCCAGCGATAGGGAGAGACCAAGGTAGGAGGATCCTAAGTTTCAAGCCAACCTGAACTACATAGCTAGACCCCGTCTCAAACCTACACCCCCCTAAAAGAACATCCCAGATAACCTGGTAATAAATTCTCGAAATGCATGATGACCGTAAAGGCAGAAAATACTCCAGAAATAAGCCATTAGCACGGCAAGGGACAGCTTTGTTTCCTCTAATAGTAACCCCAAAGGGCTCAAAATACCTGCTGTGATGGCAGAACCAAAATCATAAAATAATTATTAATGATCAAATTTATGGAATCTATACACCCACTGTGGTGGTTTGAATGAGTGTCCCCCATAGGCTCCAAGTATTTGGACACTTGGTCCCCAGTTCATGGTGCTACTTGGGGAGGGTCATGGAACATTTAGGATATGTGGCCATGCTAGAAGAAGCATGTCACTGGGGGCAGGCTTTGGGAGTTCTTAAGCCTTGCTGGATTTCCGGTTTTGCTCACTTCCTGTGCCTGCTGGAAGATGTGAGTGCTGTTTTCTGGCCCAGCCTCCTCTGCTGCCATGCCTCCCCACCATGATAGACTCTAATCCCTGTGGAACCATAAGCCACGTAAACTCTTCCTTCTATGAGTTGCGTTGGACAAGGTGTTTCACAACAGAAAAGTAACTAAGACACCCACTAAAGCCCTTGAATATTAGATAGCTCATAAGACAGTTTTGAATGCACACATATAAGAACACAGCCCTTCTGAAAAGAATCATATTTCAGCAGAAAAGACTTGATGGAACACAAAACAAAGCTCTTTGTACCTCAGCTCCTGAGCAGTGCCTACCACACATATCCCTGTGGGTGCTGGGATTCGAACCCAGGTCTTCTGCAAGAACAGCCAGTGTTCTTACCTGCTGAGCCATCTCTCTAGCCCCTTGTAAGCTGACGAATTTATAATACAACTCAATAAAGGTGTTCTTTAAGAAATGAGAATAGTCAAAAACAAAAGAAGATGAGGAGGAAGAGAAGGAAAGGGAGGAAGAAGAGAAGGAAAGGGAGGAGGAGGGGGGGCAGAGGAGGAGGAAAAGAAGTGAGAATAGTGAGCTACAGAGATGACTCAGCAGTTAAGAGTAGCGGCTACTCTTGCAGAAGACCTGGGACCTTTCCCAGCACCCACGTAGCAGCTCCAGTTCTAGGGGATCCAACACCCTCTTCTAGCCTCTGCAGACATTGCACACACATACACGGTATACATACATGCAGGCAAAAAACACTCATACACACAAATTTTTTTTAATTTTTAAAAAATCTAAGTATCTGTAGATGAAGTTAAAAAAAATCAAAATTGGAGCTGGCAAGATAGTCAGAGGGTAAAGTTGCCTGTCACCAAGTCTGATGACCTGAGTTCAATCCCCAGGACCCACATAGTCTACACACAAATTTTTTTTAATTTTTAAAAAATCTAAGTATCTGTAGATGAAGCTAAAAAAAAATCAAAATTGGGGCTGGCAAGATAGTCAGAGGGTAAAGTTGCTTGTCACCAAGTCTGATGACCTGAGTTCAATCCCCAGGACCCACATAGTTACACACAAATTTTTTTTAATTTTTAAAAAATCTAAGTATCTGTAGATGAAGCTAAAAAAAAATCAAAATTGGGGCTGGCAAGATAGTCAGAGGGTAAAGTTGCTTGTCACCAAGTCTGATGACCTGAGTTCAATCCCCAGGACCCACATAGTTGAAGGAAAGAACTGACTCCCACAAGCTGTCCTCCACATATGGTACTGCACAGAACATTGTGGCATGCATGTGCAAGTTTGCACACACACACATAATTAAAGTAGGAGGAGGCATACAAGAGTGTCTGGTTCATGGAAAGTGCTCAGTAAATGAATCACAGCTGCTATTCTAAAATACCCACACTATGCTTTCATTATATTGTCAATAAACTCAGATGAAATACTGTAAACTCCTAATTGCTAGCTCTTTATTAAAAGCATTAATTAAGAACCCTTCACCTCTCACATTTTAGTAGAAACCACAGAAAATATGCTTTCTTCTGACTGTGCAACTTTAACAAAGAATAAAGCAAAGTACCTCAGGAAGGGGATAATAAAGAAAGAATTCAATGACATGGTCACTCAGGGATAATTGTGGGATGAGGCAGAAAAGGAAAGAAAAATGTTTATTTCTTTGAAGTCAAAAATCCAGTTCACTGCCCTAAACAATGTTCATTGTAAACACACAAGTACGTGTCACAGTGAACACTGGTACGACCCCATAGTCAGCCTCTATAACCCAGACACTTTTTATTTTTCTTTTTTTTGGGTTCTTTTGTTGTTGTTGCTATTGTTTGGGTTTGTTTGCTTGCTTGTTTTGACAGGGTTTCCCTACTCCCAGTCCACCTGGAAGTCATTACGTGGACCAGGCTAGCCTCAATCTCGCAAAGATCTGCCTGCCTCTGCCTCCTGCCAGGCATTTTTTTAAAAAATTACATCTATGTGAACCTATGTGTTGGGGTATGTACATGTGAGTACAGTTACTTGCAGAGGCCAGAAGAGGGTATTGGATCCCCTGGAACTGGAGTTACAGGTGGTTGTGAATCACTACCTCCCGACATGGATGCTGGGACTTGAACTCAGGTCTGCAAGCACTCTTAACCTCGGAGCCATCTCTCTAGCCCCCTCAGCTATTTCCTTACAGCATGTTAAGGGGCTGCACAGAAAGCCTTCTTAGGGCTTCAGAATTGGCTCACAGTTTGAAAATTTTTCAAGTTTGCACAACTCAAGTAGTTTGGTAAGAAAGAAGCTTTGAAGCAATGCCTGAGTCCAATACAACCAACTCTCACAGGAAAGACACAGCTCGGAAAGACCTCACCCCTTGGATTTACGAGTTTAGCATATGTCACTGTAAGGCCAGACAGGACAGTACTTAAATGGGCACATGCTGGCTGGGGGTCCTTGAGCAAGTCAGTTCATCTTGCTGAGTCTCAAGTTCCTGGTCTGGGAAACAGTGTCTCTGTGGTGTCATCATGGGATATAAATGAGTTAACATAGAATGTTTAGGTTCATACATGACAGCCATGGTAATTACGATTGAAACTGCAAAGCTCATCAGATCTTGAGTGCGTGACAGAAGAGACTGGGCAGTTTCCTGGTGTCCTCGATTTCGGGTTTACTTTTGTCCCACATGGCCCAAAATATGGATGACTGGAAAAAATCTCTGAAATTCAGGCTGCTACTTATCACCCATGAAGTAAGAGCAGGGAAGGAGCTACAGGTCAGGTAAAAGCCATTTGCTGCAAAGAAACATAGCACAGAAGTAGAAGCATGCCTGGGGACCACGCTTTTCAATCCTAGATGTGCACCACAATCAGCTGGGGTGCTTGGCAATCACCAGACCCTGGTCCCCTCTCCACAGCGGGGGCCTCTTCCACCCCAAGATTGATTTACCAAGTCTGGGGTGGAGCTTAGGCATCTTTCCTGTTTTGTTTTGTTTTTAAAGAAGTGAGTGCCCAGGTGCTTCTAATGTGTAGCCGAGGTGGGGAATGACCACATAACAGTGTGAGATGGAAGACAAAGAAGATGTCGAAGAAAACGAGGAAAATTTCGAGTTGAGCACGTGTTTCAAGAATCATGCTGCTTTTTCCATTTTCTAAATCCCTAATGCTGAGGGAAGGAGTTTTCTTCCCAAGCTGCAAATCACAACATAGTCAGTTCAGGAGGCAGCTGGGTAGACCTAGCTGTTTCAGAAACATGACAACTCAAGCTCATAGCTATAAGCCACCTACACCACCTCTGGCGAGGGTAAGCAGCCATCACAGCTGGCCCAGAACTGCCTGCTTTAACACTGCAAGTCCAGCATCCCTACAAACCTCTTGGTCCCAGGCGAGCCAGTCTCCACATCTCTAGCATCATCTCCAGATCAACACTTCCAAACAACACTTTATAGGCCTGCACTGTCCAGCACAGCAGCCATTGGTCACAAGCAGCTACTGACATTTCAATCAATTACAATTGAATAAAATGTAAAATGTGTTTCTTTGGGTGCACTAGTCCCATTTCACATGTAACTGGTGGGACCATACTGGACATTGGACACAGAATCTTACCAACACAACAGCAACTTCCACTG